TCCTTCCTCCTCCCTCCCTCCTCCCTCCTGCATCCCTACCTGCGTGGGTACAAGGGCATGTATACATCGTCGTCTAGCGTGCGACGGACGCGCGCCGCCACGCCCCGCAGCAGCGTCGCTGCCGTCCGCGTCTCCGCTGCCATCGCCGTCGGAAACTCGGCAGCCATCTTGTGCAGGAGTCGCGCGAGCCGGCGGCTCTGCTGCGCCGACATCGGGTCCCAGACGTCGTCGACGAGCGCTGTGCGCGGGAGAAAGAAACAAGAGAATGTTAGCGCGGGAGAACCAACAACAACAAAAAGAGATACGACAGAAAAAAAACACGAGAAAAACGCAAAGAAAAACCAGCGAACGTTAATGCACGAGTGCTGCGCAGGATAGAGAAAAAACAAGCGAGCGTTCACGCGCGTGCATGCGTTTGTGCGCGAGAGGACACCCTACACGGGGCGCTCTGAAACAAGTGTTGACACAGGTGTCGTTTATAATAGGCCGCAGTGGTTCTCAACCTTTTTTGAGTCACGAACCCCTTTGAGAATCTGGTGAAAGCTACAGAACCCTCCCCAGAATGAGTGTCAATGACACTGTAGCTAACCTTGGGTGTGATAGAAGAGGGAGGGGGGATATATAAAGCAAGAGTATATATGGGAGAACTCCCATTCTATAGCTCCCATTATATACTCTTGATAATGATATATGCATAAGTTTTGATGCGAAAATGAATGTTTCAGATCTGAAAGTCTGAAATCTTGACGAGAGATGGCGGTGCTATGCCTAAATTATCGCCATTTTGGTTTTCGAATATCACGCAAATAAAAACAATAAAATATTCCAGTCAAATTTACTGTAACGAAGAATCTAAAACCCAATATTACACGTATATAGGTATGATTGTAGAGTTGTTGATCAGTGAGACGAAATAAACATAATAGGACGTTGTCATCTCTCCCATAGGAGTAACAACTGTTTTGGGGCTAGCCTTACACATCCACATACCAAAATTTAACAAAATCGAATTAATTTAGATGGCCATGTTTATTTTTGCCAAAAACTGAAAAAGTGGGCGTGGCCCGAAAGTAGGTCGACTGGCTTGCTCCAAAATAGGAAGTTCAAATCTCTCCCATAGGAGTAACAAC